AGGAAGGTGCAGCAGCGAGGCTACAAAACAGTCGTGACTTGACTTTACAGCTGCTCTGGGGGTCAGGCAGCTCACCTGTGACCAGCCTGGCTATGGGACCCAAGTGGAAGTCTGCAAATGTCTCTCAGAAATACTATACTTTCCCTGGCTTTTCCTGCTTGGTGCTCTTCTTACAGTCTGGAGTGCTGCTTAACTTCTACAAAGTAAATCAGCTCCAAAATGACCATTTTTAATGTGTGTAATCTGGCTACAGGGAGCCTGCAAATACAAACTTCCTATGCCTTTTTCTATTCCTTCCTATTCCTTTAATTTCAATTTGCCCCAAGTCTAGAGTGTGTGACATCCTGGAGAGCTTGGCCCTGGGGTACAAATGGCAGGACATTTCTTAGCCATGCCAGTCCTTCTCATGTTCTTACCGTGACATTTTAGCAATCGAGGAACTAACTCTGTAACAAATGTATTGAAAGAATAAATTCACAAGAAATATAGCATAAAAATAAGGTTTTCATGGGTGTTTCTAGTAGTCACCTGAATTGCAGACTGTGTGACTGCTTGTTATCTTGTGAATCATCTGTCACATATTTGACAATACATGTTTTGTCAAGTCAGACAGGCTTCCTTAGAAAGAAAGAGATGATATTATTATGACCCAGGCAGGATTCTGTGTGTTTAATGGTGAAGCACTCAAACGTCTTTCAGGTTTGACACAATACAATTCACATGGTGTTTTTCAGAAATTAGCTCTAAGCTGTTTATATGAGTGCACATTTGCACATAAAGACATTTAGCAAATATTGTTTTGCTTTTGGGAAATCTCTAGATTGTTTTAATGGCATCTGCTCCAATGAACTCCAGTAGATTTGAAAAGGAAAACTGTAATTACTGGATTACTTGGTACTGTAATATTCAATATTATGGTAATGTGGGATGAACTAACCATGCTATGGGACTGAGGAACTTCTGCCTTCTAAACTCAACTTCACAGAGGCTTTAATTGGGTGCTTAGCAGAAGGCTGTTGGAAATGTATTGGGGCACTTATGTAAGTACTCTGACAACATTTTGTCTGAATCTTTCTGGTTTCATACCCCAGAAAAGTAGATGTGACTCTTGCCCTCTACTCTCAAACTGCATAGATGAAAAAAATAAGAGTAAAACCAGTTGTCATTTTGGTGTGACTGATGCACTGTAGCACGAATTGTTTTGATCTCTCAGTGTCACAGTGTAAAAACTGCTTCAAGCAGGACAAATGTGGAGCTAATTTTTTCACAGTCCTTTCTCAAATAAAATTGATTTTTCTAGTGGAAAGCTGAAGCTGAGAAACAGCAGAAATAGAAAGCTAGCAGGAAGTCTCTAGCAGGAATAGGAGTACACTTTTCTCTTTCAGGAGTTACTGATTTAAAGGATATTTGCCTACTCATCGGCCTGTCTTCTGCAGCGCTCTGTGCTGATGGGTACCAGTCATCACATTTCTGTTGGCTATTTCACAAAGACAAGGTCAAATACAGTGGGAGCAGAAAGTTTGGTAGTTTGTAGTGGCCTTTAGCCCCTGGGAAATTCATTCTTCAGATTCAGAGCTCTACAAAGAAGTTATACCTTCTGCCCAAATGATTTTTTGTTTAACACAGAGATTGCTGTACCTTGGAGGACTGTGGCTAAGAGCGCCGAGGCTAATCACGGTCTTCACTCTGCAACTCTGTGGTCTTTTGCAATGACTGTAAAGGGCCTAAAGAGTGAAGAGCCTGAACTAGACTTGAAAAGCCTTGGATGGCCAGGATAGATTGCAGGGGTCAGGTCTCATTCATTCAGAACAACCCTTGTTCTAGTGCAGTGTTCTCTGTGTAACATCTGGAATTTGGTATCATCACATGCAGGATGAGGAGGAACATGTTCCCAGGCCCCAGTCAGGCAGAGCCTTCTTACCAAGGAGAAAGTTTGGCATATGCCCCCTGCAGAAGCTGCTCTGTGTAATCATTGTCAGTCAGTAGTAGTCAGAACTACTGCTAAATTGTGGACTGACTTAGCTAATAGTGGACCTGTGCATGTAGCCACATAGTTGCCTCAAACTCTTCAAAAAATGTTTTCCTCCATTTATCAGAATTTTTTTTTTTATTATTATTATTATTTTCCTTCATATGTATGTTCTCATATGAACAAAGCCTGCTGATCACAACTGAGGTCAATAGGCATTTAAATGTTGATTTTAATAAGTGTATGTTGGAGTACACATTGCATATGCTATTGTGCTTTTCCTTCATCAACACATGAATACTCTGCTTGCTGGTTTTGAAAAAAAAGTGTATTAATTATGTGAAACAGTGAGCCCAGCCCAAACATCAAAAGGACTCGTAGGTGCTCACTTTCTCACTGGCGACTTGCTTGATGAACCCAGTGATCTATGAGCTATACTGTGCATGACCATACACTTTGTCCTTAACATGTGCTTGATTGTAGCTACACACGTAATAGATCTGAAATCACTATTATTCCCATAATTCTTCCACACACGTTGTTGCAAAATTCATGCTTCAGTTAAAAATAAATAAATTCATACTAGAGATGTTTTCATTACTTTTATGTTTTGTTGACTATTGATCACAGAGAGAGGCAGATGAATCTTCAAGGAGAGAGAATGGATTAGAGGTGGCAGGAGGTGAAAAAGAAAGGACTTACATCTTTTTCTTCAAGAGGGAAGTAATTCATTGATATTTGCCAGAAGACTTCATAACACATAAAATTATTTTTGTTCATAAAATGAACTTTGACAATCTTGACAATGGCAGTATTCACCAAGTTGAGGGGTAATCTCCATTTCTACCAAATTTAAGTCACTGACCATAGTGATTGCATTTCTCACATACCTAATGTGAAAATTTTGGGGATGGAACTTTTTGCTCTGTGTCTCTAAATGGGTTGAAAGTCACTGAACTAAAAAAATAACAAAACCTTTGCATGAATCACTAGTAAAGTGACTCTGAGGTGTGGAAAAATCTCAAGTCTCTTCCACCTCATGTTTGAAATCTCCTGTTCTCCTGAGATGCTGCTCAAGCTGAGAAGGGAGAAGGAGACAGAAAGGAAGGGAATATCTCTCTGTAAAAGGGAATCTCTCTCTTTAGAAAATGCAACTTGTTGAAAATATTGTTCAACATTGTTGACACTCCTTTAAACACTAGCAGGGGGCAATGATTTGCACCCATTAGTCTCTCTTCAAATGAAATTATTGGTAGGATTGTAGCAGCATTAACTGATGAATTCTTCTAAACAACATCAATTGGTGGCAATGACAGCATTCCAGAAGGCTTATTTAAAATATAGAGTGTATTGTGTAACTCTTTCTATTTGTCTGTTGCACAATCTATTTGCTGATACTTGTTTCTTTCCCTCCCTCTCTCTCCCCTAGGCTATCAAACAAAGCTGCCCAACCTTACACTCATCCATCAACCTTGAGTTATTAAGAGAATAACTGCAGAACATTTACAAGTGGATGGGATGGAGCGCTGGCTGCTTTTCAAGAACACAGTCAGTGCTACAAAAACTTTGCAAGATGGCAAATTTTCTCATGCTGGCTGTTCTTTGCACTGCTAGGACCTGCTAGAAGGAGTGGTTTCTTGAATTTAGGGTAACTGATACAGGCTGATGCCAAAGCTGTTAATCATATCATATCCAGTATCAAATCATAATTCTTAGGAAAATGTCTTATTTATTTATTTATTTTTAGCTATTTCTCACAAAGGCTTTGGGAGACATTGGAGGGAAGAAAGAGAGCAGGGTAAGGGCAAGCATCTGATTGCTTATATGACTTTCTTAAGTATAGGTTTAAAAAAATCATTGCATCAAAGTAGAGGTTCAAAGTGTCTCACAGCAGAAATGTAGCAAAATGAAAGTGAAATGGATCATAATAAGGGACATTTTTTCATTGATTAAAAGACAGAGGTTGTGATGGAGCAGAGTTGCAATGTAATAATCTATGAATCTGATCAGCAATTTAGGGTGTGCATGAAGACATCTAGGCTGGTGCGGCACAATTCACTCCCACAGCCTGAAGAACTGGGAAACAGTGCAGAGGCTCCTTGCAAGCCAGCACTGAAACAGAAGCAATATAGCCCTGAGTGCTGTGCCAGCTGAACATGATTATTCTGCCTCTCAGTCCCACTTGGCATATCTGCACAGTACTTTGCTGTGCTGTGTGGACTTGCCAAATCAGCTCAGTGCTAGCTTGGGGATCTCTGCATCATGTTCTCTGCAATGTAAATGTACCCTTGGAAATTAAGCTAATCTGTTTGACTTCTGGAAGGGTAGGAGAATGCTTCCTGGCTAGCCAGCATTGCTCTAATTAAGCAGGACTGTGGGAAGAAGAAAACATGTCAGTCTGCACTGTGACTTTCCAGACAAGAACATCCCGGCAGGCACCGAAAAGCTGATTCCTTTGAGCATCCTATATTCAGTTCAAGTGGAAAGCTTCAGGCTTTGTTTTGCCAGTTTAGATGCTTGAAAATCCAGAGATCAGCGAGAAGCTAAGAAGTTGTTCCCAGGAGGGAGCAGGCAGTTGACAGAAGCTGCTGCTGGGCACAGGACTATGTGGGCAGAGGCTCTGCTGAGGGAATCTGGAAGAGCCAGCACAGTCAGCCTCAGTGGGAGGCACGCAGATAGACTCAAATAGATCTCTCTTTTGTCGTAGGTCCATTTTCTCTGCCTTGTCTTTGTTCTAAGCAAATCAGGCTCTGCTTTAGCAAGGCTGTTTGGTGATGGACACGGCTCTGCTCCTGGAGGCAGAAGAGCTGAAGATGACTCAGGACCATGAGGTAATCCTGGCTGACCACAGGAAACCTGAGCCTGGGAGAGTCACGGGGCTCTGCTGCAGGAGATGTGGAAGCCAGCGGCCTGGGACCGGGAGAGAGGGCATCTGATGAGATCAGGAACGTAATTTACGCAATTATAATGACAAAGGTTATGAACTTGCATTTTTTAATTCTGTTCTGTGTCAATCCAGGAATTGGCTACATTTTTTTTCTTTTTTTTTTTGTAGTCCTCTGTAAATGTGGCCTATCAGAGGACATTTAATACCAGGAGAAGCAGCAGAGTTAAACCACTAAAATATGATTGATTTTCAGCAGCTCCACACTGTCTGTGTTTTCTCCACTCAATAACAACACTGCTTGGTGATTTCACCCTGCATGCATGGCAAGTAGAAGTCTTTACCACTCCACTTCATGTTGTGAAGATCCTCAGCAACAGCAGCACAGAGACTAATGAGAGAGGGGAAAAAAAAACACTTACCAAAGTTGTTACTTATGAAGACGTATCACAAGTTGAGCAACAAACACATGAAACACAGATGCTAAGATCCTGTGATAGCCTCTCCGCAGGAGGCAAGCTGAATGAAAGATAATGGTTCCTTTCCCTCTAGCTGTCCTCTTCTCCCTGCTTTTATCAGTTCACTTCATATCCCCCCCCGACTGTTTTTCCTACTTCACGTTGCAGTGATGTACATCACACCTGATACCAACCAGCCTTAGCACCTCCCTACCTTGCCTTCTGGCTCACCTCTTCTCCCACTCACTCTCAGTGACTTGTGCTTCCATCCTGAGACCCTGTCTCATTAATTAGGCTTCCCTCTGCTTCTGCTCCCTCCTGATGTGGCCTTCAGTTCTGGCTCAACCATTTTAAGAAAATAGCTGCTTAACAGCCTGGTATTCATCAAGCACATTCCCCTTCCTCTTGTTTAAGCAGTGTTCTTATCCTTTGCTTTATTATTTAGTTCTTCCATTACTCCCAGGCCATGAATTGCATCAAAGCCTTCTTTACTCTTGATCTACTTCTTCAGCACTTTGAGCTTCTGTGTTGTACTGACACCCTGAGTGTTCACTATAGGCCTGTTTGTTGTCTGAGGAACCATGTTATCACATGAAGAAGCACTGGATGTTCAGAGAAGTTCATGCTGATTTTGGGGACAATTTCCAGTCCCATGCTGGCACATCTGGTTCAGGCAAAATCGAGTAACAGTTGTCCACTTTCAGGTATATACATAAGCAAAGTGTTCCTGCTTTTGTTTTTTTTGCCCTTTTTTTTTTTTCCCTAAAATGCTTAGCAAATAAGCCTATTATATTGATTCTTCTGTGCACTTTGATTCCTGGGGTAAGCAATTTGCCCAAGCAGCCCAAAAGAAACCCCATTCCTTAACGCTCCTAGGTTATCAGTGGCCCAGGGACAAGCTTCTTAGATGACATTTCCTTGTGCTGCTTCCTTGTTGGCTTCTTTGTCAGCCAGCTCCATGCTATCTCCCACGCTGCAACCAGTGGCAAGCTCCCAGGTGAAGTCTGTAAAGCTGCTCCCTCCCAAATTACTCCTTATGCCTCCCCCTTTGTTGTTGTTGCCTCAAAAGCAGTCCCACATAACGGTGCCTAGAAAGGCAGAGAGGCTCACTCTTTGATGATGCATTTGTGACACTGTTGCCTCATTTTACTGCTTCCACTCCTACCTCATGTTTGCCTGTTGCATCTTGCCATAACCTACACAGGCAGTGCCATGGAAGAGGGACTGCCCTTTTTGCTCCAAGTCCCTCCCTGCTTCACCAGGGCACAGACCAGCTCCTGGGTGCTGGGATGGATTAGGGCCTGGTGCCCCCAGCCCAGGCACGAGCCTCACAGCTCATATGTTCTCTGGAGAACCGGTAGCTGTGAGCCCTAATGAGCACTTGTAATTAAGATGCAGTTAGCTCTGAGAGCTCCTGTTTCCTGTCAGAGTCCTCCAGTCCTGGGACAGTACCGGTACAAAAGTTGGACACCACCTCTTCACCCATTAGGTGCATCCTCCAAAGGCCGTGGCTGCGTTGGCTGTGGTCTGTGCTGAGCTCTGCAGTGACAAGGGTGGCACTAAGAAGAGTCACAGCTGGTCTGATGGCTCATGCCCCTGCAGGGACTCAGAAAGGTGCTTCATTTGTGAAAGCTTTGTATGGGATAAGCATCAGGAGCCCAATGCAGCTAATGAGGTGATACCTCTGATAATGCTCAGCATTAAATTAATTTCTCTGCTTCTCCAGGGTTTCAGGTTATTCCAGTCTGGGTTCCAGTCTCTTCTTTGCATGGTCCTAACCATGAGACAGTCTCCTTATCTTTCCTTTGGGTCTTCCTTTTCTTTTTCAGTCTATTTTTATGCCTTTTATTCATTGTTATTATGTGTTTTGTTCACTTGATTTGTCACAGGCTGTGCCAGGCCAGAAGAAAGCAGAAGTTTTTTTCTGCCTTTGAAATTTTGACTATATCAAAAAGATCTTGTACTGATGTTATTTTTTGCTTATTTGTATTCCTATTCTCCCCACAGTTTTTCCTGTCTTCCCGTTCCCTGCAAGGACCAGAGGCATTATCATTACATCCCATACAGGCAAACCCATGCCAGTAGCCATAAGGTGTGGTGGAGTCTAATCCTGGTCACACAACTTTCGGTTGTGTATCCAGGCCATCTGGTCTTGAGTTATTTCAGGTAATTAGTTCGGGATAAATCTCCAAGCCATTACAAAGAAATCAGTTGCTGCTGTCTTGCTTTCTCTGTGAACAGAGCATTGATTTCCAAGCTGATACAAGTGGGTTTATTTATTTATTTTTATTGTCTTATGGTCTGGAGCAGTCACTTTCCATGCCAAACCCAGAGTGGTTGTAAGAATTTCCTACAGAAGGACCACTCCCATAAATGTAATGTATCAGGCTTCTGTAAGAAACAGACTAGACCACTCTTGAAAGCAAAATCTGTCATCTAAGATCTTGTCTGGAATTAAAAGTCCTGTTGTGTGATGCTGAAAAGCTTCAACGATCTTCTGCTGGAAGTTGTTTGGGAGAAAAACAAACAAACAAACAAACCACTATTGGTTCTATGGGTTCTGTTTCATTTTCCCTTGTTCTTAACATGAATTTACCAGTGTTAGAGGAAGCAAATCTGAGAACATGATGGCAGTGCTTGCAGTGCTTTTTCTGAGACTGCAATACCCATCTTGCTGTCTACCATTAGCTGGCACAGCCTACCCTCAGACAGCTGGTTTCTACAGTTCACCATCACAGCTCACAATGACTTATTGTCACTATCAAATGTGATTGCATTAGAATCATGAAACACTTGAATATAAAATTATAAATCTCGATTTCCCATCGTCCACCCCCTAAAGTGTCTGGTGCTTACGGAGCAGGTCTTTTAAAACTGTAGAGCAGCTGCTCAGCTAGTGTAAATCAGTATGCTACGTTGTGAAGTGGAAAAATTTTGGTACTGCTTAAAGGATGTTTTAAAGAGATCAGTGAGTAATTAAATGCTCAAAATGTCCACTGGGAAGGGTATAAACCAAGAACCTAATTTGCAAAAAAGAAGATTTACATTATATATGAAAAAAACACCCTATCTAGGGGATAAGCAACAGGCAGGCAGGCTGTGTTGCAAATCTGCCTCACTGGAGGTCTGTATGAACGGATTAGACCAACATCTGTCACATGTGGATGGATTCTGCCCTGGTGCAGGGCCTGAGCTGGATGTGCTCTGATCTCTTCAGTGCTTGCACAGCGTGCAGCAATGGACCTCAGCACTGAAACAGCTATGGGATTAGCAAAACACTTCTGACTCCTTCCTTCCTGTTCAAGACAGGCCAGAAGATTTGCAAATCAGTTCAGTCCCATGTGTTAACCTCCGTGCTATTCAGGCAAAGTTTCTCAGCCTCTACTTCATTACTGAGCATAGCTAGGACAGAAGACAGGCAGTGCTCTTAAATCATTCCAGGGAATCCACCAGCAGATGTTAAATCATTACAGTAATAAGTTAATATTCTTCTTTGTGCTAAAATGAGCTATAACAGCTATTTAACTCTATTATAGTTAACTACACTATATATGCATCTAGTTATTACTGTAAAACTATATAAAATATATAACCATATACTGTAGTTAGCTATTAAGCAGCTATAATACCTATGTGTGGGTATTTCAGAAGGCATTTTATAGAGTGAAATCAATGGAAAAGCTTCCGTTGGTTTTAATGGAAAATAAGTCAGGATTAAAGAGAGAATATTAGTGTATTTTGACATTAATTAGTATCAAGATTAAGTGTTAAGCCCAGAAGAGACTTCATAGTATCATAAGACTGGAATTCCCAAGTGTACGCACTTCCAATGATCAAGATTTTGCTAAGCGCATAAAAGCAAAAAATACATTCTTCCATCTTACTCTGTCCTTCAACATTTGTTCTAAGAAGTTATTTGCATTTTAGTAGTGCAAGAGGCAAATTTTAATGGCTCTTTTTTTCAGATAGCCTCTCTTCTGCAGGATTCTTTGTCCTGGCATGCCCAGCCTCCTGCTTTGTGTGCGATTTGGGGATCAACAGGCAGCATTAGAAGAGGATGGGGACAATTGTACTTTGAGAAGAACGGTACAGTTCCTGCATATTCCAGTGTTGTTCAGGACACCTGGGTGGACTAGTTTTGAGGTAGGAAAATGCTTTTCCATGTAGCACAGAGTAAAGACTGACATGAAGTGGTGCATGGGTGTTCCTCGAATTATGCCTGTGGGATGGGTTGTGTTACAGGAAGGCTTGTGAGCACCTGCACTCTCAGGGGTGCTTTTCAAGACTAAGCCCTGTAGCCTGACGCTGGAGGAGTGGGGAGAGCTCATTGCTTGTGAACAAGGAAAGGAACAGCCCAGACCCCTTGTGAAGTTCAGAGGGAAGCCCCCCGGCCCCACCTGCACTTACTGGTTTAGAAGTAACATCACCCAGAGACAGCTCTGGCCTGGTTTCACTGCAGTTGTATGCCCGAGTCCAAGAACCAAATTAAGTAGCACAGCTAACCTGAGCTCATCAGCTTTAAATGAGGCAGTCCTGCTCTTCCTGTCTTCCTTCCCCTCACTCTCCTTGGTAATAGTAAAGCTTTTACTTTAAGGAGACTTGCTGGGCTCCAGCTGACTACATGCAGAGCCACCTCAGCTCCCATCTATTGCTTTCCCAGTACCAGGACTGCAGAACAGGCATACTCATGTCTGGCATTGCTGGCATTAAGCCCCAAATGGTAAATCCAGCCAGGTTATTGAGTGCTGAAGAGAAGAACATGCTTCAGAGAAACTTGACTTGCTCAGTAGTGGGATAAGGAGGCTGCTTATCTCTGGCCAAGGGCCAGTGTTTTTAGTGCTGTGCTGTCTCTGGGTAACGCTATCTGGATGTCCCTGTGTCACCCTCTCCTGTACCTGTGTTATATAGTTTCCATTGTCTGGGGTACTGCGGC